CAGCACAACGTCGTTCACTGGTGATTTGACGAGCCTGTGCATTAGTTATTCAGTTTTCCACTGAAGGTTCCCAGCATTCTTCCTTTAATGGCTCGCTGTTCCTCATCTCGTTTCACTAGAGACTACGCTTCACTACAACGCAGCGCTGAGCTACCTTGACACAACATGTGCGTTTATGTTATACCAATTTACTCTTCTCCGAAGCTCGTCATCCTTTCGTGCTACATGCTACACTTTCTTATGGGCACATTGACCCGTGCGCGAAATCGTAGTCCATGTACTTACTTATGGGGAGATTGATGCGGAGACTACTTGTTTTCTTCACTGAGAGAGCACAGATTATGACTGAAATCGTCACAGTTTCCTGCGAGTAGCGCAATGTTATCGGCAAACCTTAAATGGTTCTGTCGCTCTCCTTAGATATGAATCCTATGTGCTCCCGATCGATTTTCTTCATGATTCAAGCTCTGCACTAAAACATTTAGGAGAAATTGCATCCACCCCTTGTCTGGTTCCTTTCTTTACCGAAATTCCAATCGGCTAGTGCACGAAGCACTGAGTTGAATGGCGAAAGAGTAAACTGCGCATGCATGGCATTTACAAACCTATTAAAACCTTTAATATTGTAAAAGGTATTTCAATGCATTCTTAGCTTCGTACGCACAGCTACAGAGTCCCAGATCGACTATTAGGTCAAACGGCCTATCAACTATCAACCTCTGTTTAGAATGTAGATACATAATGCACCACCCCATGTCACACCTGGAAGGTTGCTCAAAGAGTAGAGCTGGATACAAGGCTGAGGTTCCGCGTTCGAGCTCTGCTCAGGTCACTTGCCTTTCTTATTCCGAGATTGATAAATGAGTACACCCTTAGTTGGAACGAAATTGAAAATTCAACCCCATACGTGTCACGTAGCCGCTGTCGACTCTACCTGTTAAATAAGGCACTGCCGACAAATGGCATGGAAATGAATATCAGCGCTCACAATTAACTTTACGAAAACAAGAGCACCTGAATGGGTCCATCGTCAAAATGTAAGGACGAATGGCATTTTTATATCAAATCTGATTTTCGAGTAAGTTATGTTTAGTTTCATACCAGTTTCAACTTGGTCCTAAACTCGCTTCTTTATCCCGGAATCAAACCTCATGCCCATCCACATTATTTCCGACTCAGATGCAGGCTGAAATTGATCTAATCCCTATTTATCATATGGGAATAATCCATTCCAGCGTAATTCGGTACAGTCATCCACAGTACCACAATTACGGTGAGCAGCTGAGAAAAGGCTGTTTTTGATCTGCTCACACTAATCTCTGGACATTCTTTAAGTTACTGAAATTCACCTTCATATACTTAATAGCTGACCTGCAGTATCTTTAAACTTTAATCCGAAACAAAATAGTGTCACGTTAACTGACAAGTCAATTACTAAAAATGAGTTTCGTCCATCTTAAAGAATTTTGCATTTCTGATTGCTGACAAGCATTTAGTTTTACAGTCATGAGACACACTTCAGTGTTTCGAATGGTCTAAATCTAAGGGAACGTACAATACTATTCTTTGATATGATCTTTCGAGATTAGAGTTTTATAATAAGTTAATAATTAAGGAGGTACTATAACTCTTTCCTGTTCCAAGCCCGGGTGAGAATGGAAGAGAGTTAAAGGCCGTAGCTAAGTATCAGTAGAACTTATCCACTGTCCCTCATGCTATTGCCGTCATCGAGCATTACACCAACTCGGTCCTCGCCCAGGTGTAGCGCTGGCTATTGG